ACTAACCCATGTTAAAATGGTTATTAAATTTACTTATTATTCTAGTATAGAATAGATTAAAAAAAGTACAACATACTCTTATTTTATCTTAGCATAGTTTTCAGTTCACTTACTTTATTTGATACATTTATTATTAGTGTTTTGCCACAACACTGATCAAATTAAACCAAGGAAAATATCATAAAACTAAGCAGTACACAGTGTTCTTTTGTTTCTACAATCAATGAAATATCTGTTACTATGTTTTCTTAATGGTAAGTGTGAAAATGTAGAGGCAATGGACGATGGAACTGATTAAAAGAACTGGTTTGTATATTAAGTTATTTGTGGATATTTTTGTATAGTAGAATCAGAGATTTGAAATTGAAAATATCAATAATAATTTAAAAAATATGTAATTAAGGGAGATGAAGGTAAATCATGTATATCAAAGTTTTATTGAAGATTTGGTCAGTTTTTCTCAAATCAGCCTACACAAGGTTTAAAATTAATCAAAAGCAAAATGGTGGTATCCACTACTTACCAGATTTAAAAGTCATAACTTAAATGTTTCTATTAAGGCCATAAAAGTTGAATTTTTTGTTTTTTAAAGCGTTGGAGGATGTGTTTAACTATTATACGTAACAGATTTAAAGATTAAAATGTTTCTATTCTGTGTCCTCTTCCCGTTGCAATGCACGGGTACAACAGCTAGTATTAAATAAATAAATACAAACAACTTTACTGTCACAGCGCACAAGAGAAGCAAGAATAGGCCTAGGAACCGATACCGAGCGACGAGCATGTTCGCGAGCATGTTCGTGAGCATGCTCGTCCGTCTGTTGGCAACGCCGAGCATGTTCGCGAGCATGTTCGCCAACATGCTCGCGAACATGCTCGCCCGTGTATGGGGGGCTTTATGCAGCTGGAATGATTTAAAATGTAAGTTAATTATTATTTTCTGCGTTTTTTGCGATTTCTCAAAAATTCACTTTTTTAGCATCAAAGTCCCATTATCTCAGGAAGTAGTGAGTCAAATTATTTCAAAATTTTACCATATACTTAGCAGGTCTAAATGCACACTCCCTACCTGTTTTAGGCTTCTAGCTCAAAAACAAAAAAAAATATAAAAAATATTTTAATAAAATTAAAAGTCAACTTTTTTTTAATTATCAAAAATTCAAAAAGTACCAACGGATATAAGAAATCGAATATAAATACTAGGGTGTCTTTAGTATAATATATATATATATATATATACTAGGAAAAAAATTTCAGTTGCATATGTCTTATACTTTTTGAGATAATGGGTCACTTACATGTATACGTTTAACATTGCGGGTATAGGCGGCGTAGTACGTACATCTCCCCTTGACACGTTTGTATTTCATACGCACATACGACTTTTTGGTTTTTAAATTACAAACTTTTCTTTACATACGACATTTTACAAAGACATAGGACTTTTTGTTTTCAATTACTAGGGCATCTCATTAACATACGACTTTTTTTAGAAATGAATGCCTAAAGATTAACTGACTGTACAGGATGAATACAGGTAGACTCGAAAGGTGATTAGCTGTGCATTTGCAGTGTTGGTTTTCAGAAGGTCAAATCACTGAAGCAAATTACTTAACTCTGGGGTTGTCATTTGCTCGATTGACTCTAGACAAGGGCTGGGTAGTGCCAAGAAAGTAACTGCAAAAAGGCACAATTTACCTTGGGTAATACATTTGCACAATAAGCTGTTCCAGCTGCGATGCAATCCCATGGTCACTTGTAAGCCTGGTCCTATGTTTAAGGAAAACGGAGGGAACAACATTAAAGAACAATTGTTTGAATATAAAATCCCATCCTTAAGAAAATAATCATGATGTTTCAAGCCTTTATGAGTGATCAAATTTTAAATAAATATGTTCTGAACTAAATTTGTAAATTATGGAGTTATTTATTTTCCAGACTTTTTGATATTAACATATTCAGTGTAGAGTGTTTATGTATAAAACATGAAAAATTAAAAGAGATAATTATTGGAGTCATTCTAACAGAAAGAACCAGAAAGGAATGTTTATTTTTACAATATTATTAATAGAAATTATTAACTAAAAGAACTGAACATACTCAAAAGCTGATCATTGTAAAACAATAAATAATATTGTGAAACTGAACCCTTTCCTGGTCCTTCGTTTTACAATGGCTGATTCATTTTTCTCTCTTAATCTTGATTTATTGCACATAAAAACTCTACGGTTAGGAAAAAAAACAATTTATTAATTAAAAATAAATTTATTGTTATGGTAACACTAAAATATAACCACTTAAAACTAAACTCGTTACATATCACAAACGTAGAGAGAGGGAGATCTAGGAAGATACAATTCAATTTTAAACAAACTACAATTTAAATTGTCTGGTAAATTTAAGAACTATTTCTAAGGAAAGTTAATATTGTCTTCAAACATTGAGATTGTTCTAATTTCTATTCATATCGCCGAAAAAATAAACATTTAAAAGTTTAACCATAACATCAAAATAGACTTTTGTAAACTTAAATGCAACACTTAAAAAACATACAATTTTGATTTAATATCAAGAAAATTCTATCAACCAGAATATTACTCTAACATATACAATTTTAACCTATAAAAATAACACGGTTTTTTTATTTGTAAGCACTTCAAAGTCTCTTCACACTCAAAATGCAAACTCATATTTAACTTGTAGCTAAAAGTGAGTATAATAAGTGAAAGTAAATTTATTTATAATTCCCAAAATATTATCTACGGTTTCCTTGGACTTATAACGGCAATGATAAACTATAATAGAAAAATCCGGATGAAACACGTAAGTTTGTTTAAAAAAAATGTTTCGTTAATATTTGCCATTGAATTGTTACTACAAATATTGACATTACAGTCTTTTACATTTGACCTCTATCAATAATTAAAACATTTTATTTGTTAACTAGTCGAAAAATGTTATTCTAAATGTATTCTTCAAAAGAAAGAATTGTTGTAATCCAACCGAACAACGCTCTTTCATCCGGAAACTTCAAAGCATTTAATACAGTACAAGAGCAGTAATTAATTTTTAACTAAAAAGTCACAGTAAGAAGCATTTGTAAAAATATAATTAATGAATTGTAAGTTATTAGTTTGGTTGTTCTTTTAACTAGAATTAATGAAACCATACATTTAACATTTTAAGTAGATAATGCTGGTATTTATTAGGCCTGATGTAATTATAATATCACTCAAATGTGTAGGTGCTTACTCGATTCTTTTTACAAAGCACAAATAAAGCTACAACTATAGTTTTTAACTGTGCCAATGCACGTTGTCATCTAATAACATAATTTCGCATTATGAATAGGCCGAAAATCATTTCAAAGATTAAGGATTCGGAAAGAGTAAACATACTTTTATATATATGCATGCCATGAAAACATTCACGAAATCGTGAAACTAGGCAAACTATTAACCTAACTCATAGTGTATTCCTTGTTCTAATGAGTCGGCTGTTCCAGATACATATCTCATGTAAGACTGGTTGAGCCAGAGTGTGCTGATAAAGCCAAACTATTTAATATATTTAATAAATTAAACTGCTTGATAAAATGAAACGAAAAAGTGTTTTATTGAAACAAGAAGGTAAACAATTACATACATAAACATACCACTATGAAACCATAGTTTATAGACAACCGACAGTTTTGGTTAACAGAACTTTTGCTTCGAAAAGAAAATACAAATCAAATGTAAACCAAATTTAGCACGAAAAATAAAATAAAAGTTTCCAAACATTTAATATTCCACTTTAATTAACTAACTGCTTTGATTAAACTACTTAGTAAAATTAAGTATAAACATTGTAGTTTTTCATTAACACTCTACGTATTCATCTGTATGGGTCTCTGGTCGAGATACTTTTTAAGGCTATATTAATTTACTATTTTTATAAAAAATGTTTAAGGGGTTTATTGAACCTTGATTTTTTTAACACAAATATGTATCTGGCCTGTCTGTACAACATATCAAGCAAGTCAAATGATGAGCCTATCCTGCAGTAAAGGTATTATCTTAACTGAAGGTTATAAGTATCTTCGCCGGGATGCGAACATACAATATCGCCGCATTTGATATATAGTCCGCCGTGGTATCAACTGAGCCACCGACTCACTACAAACAAACAACAAATAAATAATAGATATGCGAAGTGAAGCAAATAAACTGGGAGTCAAAACAGACTCTTTTCCATAACTCGAGACCACCTCACGGGTCTTTACGAGATACGTTAACCACTAGACTTGCAAGATTAACCAATCATCCATCTACGAAACTATTTAAAAGATAAATGATAGCAGATGAATAAAATCGAAATAAAAACTAAATTTTAAGCAGTAAGTACGATGGAAATAAACACTTGGCATTTTATTAAAATATTCAGCAGACAGCAGCACACTCTTTTGTTACGGATCATAAATTATAATTTAAACTTGCTGTAAATAATAAAAACCAAACGGCGCTTTACCATATTCAGGTTGTCACGTAAATAAACAGCCAATCTTAGGGAAATGTTTTTATGGGTAAAATTAAACTGAAAATCAAGAATGAAACTAAGAATAAAATATCTTTGTTAACCCGTTATCTGCCGTTTTATTTAGCATGAGTATTTTTCTAATCGATCATTATGAACCTTGGTATGTATATTAAGGTATAACGACCCCAGGTTTAAAAACATCGTATGGTTGGAAAAACGGCTGAAATGTCAATAGTTGTAGTTGTAAATGAGGTGCATCGTCACTAGCTTACTTAAATTATTTCTTATTCGATCTTTTTGGGCTTGATATCGTTAGATAGGAAATTTTGAATTCTAAATAAAAGTGTTCTGGACATTTTTTATAAAATCAGCCTTTTTTGTAAATACCGTTTTAAAATAAAACGGCCGCCATCTTAAAAAATAAAATTTGGACAAGCATAAGTCTTATCTACCTAAAAATTCAAATTTCATAAAGACCGTTAAGGAAATTTTAAAGATGAAAAAGATTAAGGTGCGCATATATATGTTCAACAACGGTTTTTAATTCCATTCTTGATTTGCTCTATAATTTAACCCATTTAACCATTTCCCGGAGTTTAACTGTTTACTTACGAGACGCCCTGTATAGTCAACAACAAACATTCTCATTCACTAAAACCTTCCCTCGTTCTATTTCAAACCTTTCCTCTGACCGTTATCTAAGATTCACCAAAAGTCATTCCAACACGTTGAAGCCTGTAAACAGCAACCAAGTAAGGATCACAGCAGTTTCTGTTGGAGGTGGAAGTCCTAGACTATCCCGCAGGAGTGACTGTGTTTTCCCCCGGGACTCTGGAAGCCTGCGCAGCACTGTTGCTGACTCACCAGACTGTTGGTGCTGCGGTTGACCTCCGCTCTCCGTGACAGACACCCATCGGACCGCGAGGTGGCTACCTGGGGACAGCGAGGTCCAGGTCCAGAGACGTCCCTGGTAGACGGAAGGGACGGAACTGTCACCTACAACGAGTATAAACCACATGGTTTCATTAATCATGCTGAAGAAATTAAGTTCGATTTGTAAAACGCCGACACACCAGGATATAAATTTTGAGACAAGAGTGACTGAAAAGTGTTGAATGGACGAGATAATAGCTTACTTGCATAAGATCAGTTAATGCTTTAGCTAGGATAAGGTCTGTAATCAAGAAAGCTGTGTTATGTGTTTAACCCTTTCCTTCCTATAATATCCACGTGGATACAGTTATTCTTGATTTTTTTTCTCTGTTAAGACAGTTTTACCCACACATTTCTATTTCTATGCACTGTACAAAGCAAACATTCTTCTATGAAAATGACATTTTTCAACGTTTTAAGCACTGAATTAAAAATAAGAAAAACTATAATACAGTTGGATATACACATGATCTGATGTGGATGAATTTCTTCAACTTTTAGAGGTCAGTATAATATTGCTTAACTCTCAGTTTTAGGGAACGATATCAAGTACACCAGTAGACACCATAAATTAAACACCTCTAGACAATTTTAATATTTTTATTGAAAATTATTTGTTTGATATGTTTGTTGAACATACTAACATATACCCACAACAAAATGGATATAGCCTATATGCCACTGGTCTAGAGATGCAGAAGTTTGTTGGGATACTGCTGTACACTGGCATTGCCAATTTTCCCCAGTATCGTATGTTTTGGGGAATGAAAACCAGATTCCCACCTGTTACAAAAACAATGAGCAGAGGCAGATTAAGTTTAATCTCAAAATATTTTTACCTGGTTGATAATACAACACGAGTTTCATGGGATAAACTATACAAGGTTCGTCTCTTGATTGATTCTATTGTTGAATTTTGCAGACAAATACCACCAGAACAAAACCAGTTAGTGGATGAACATGTGATATATATAAGGGTAGCTAAAGCCTAAAGCAGTACGTGAAAAAAAAGTTGGGGTATAAGGTGTTTATGAGATGCAGTGCGACAGGATTAATGGATGACTTTACCATTTATTTTGGGGAAAGATTCATGAGCTGATTACAATCTAGGTTTTTCAGGTGACATTTTTGTAGACACATGCCAGAATTTACATACAAACAAAAACTGTAGATTGTTTTGACAATTGGCTTACTTCGGCAAAACCTTTCAAACATTTAAAAGATCAAGGCAATTTGGCCACTGATATAATCCGCCCCGTCAGGAAATATGATTGTCCTATGCTCAGCGAAAAGAAACCCAAGTACACGACAGTGCCGTTTAACAACAAAAAAATGGCTTATTGGCCGTTAGATGGGATGACAATAAACAAATCACCATGCTATCGGCCATTGACGAACTTGAGAGGTGGGACAAAAACAGGCTACAAATCGATGTTCTAGGTCCATCCATTGTACAGGTATAAAACCAGTCTATGGGTGTGTTGGATTTATTCAGAAATCTTATTGCCTTCTACAGAGTTGACGTAATGGGCAATGGGGGGTATATGTGGATTGCGCACTGGTGTTACAATGCTCCTACTGTTAATGATTGGGTACTGAATCGGAGGCACATGGCTCAGTTGAGACAGAGTATGTAATATTTATTACTAGACTTCCAAGTATACATGCGGAAGCATTGTGCATGAAAGACACGGTGCCTAAAATATAACAATAGTAAAAATTACAACCTGAATAATGACTTTTGTAAGACCGAATTTAAAGAATATTGTAAGACTGAACAATATTGTAACCCTACAATAATTATTAGTCGTAACTGTTTTTCCATTAGTATCTCTCTTTTATATTTTGTTATTTTACGTAAATATACATAAACATTCAAGAAATAATAGTCTTCTACGAAATAAAGGAAGTTTATTTCTTGTGTAGAAAAAACTGTTCTCTAGCAGAATCTACTTATATTGTACGGTGCCCTGACAGGCGACACCCTAATAGAAAATCCTCCAAGAAAATAGTTGACAATCTTAAGAACTATGGTCATTCAAGAAAAAGAAACAGCGACCTATGATTGCGTTCACGGAAGAAATGAAAACTAAAATCGTCGCTTGTTTTTAAGTAAATCCTAACTCAAGTACAAGAGGAGTAGCAGAGATTTTTAGAGTATCAAAATTGTATGTTAATAGTGTTCTGAAGAAACATAACTTTCATCCCTACAAGGTTACAGTCTTCCAGGCTAACCTACCCGGTGATGAAGACGATTACAGTCTTGTTACTGGTTCTTAGACCAAGCTTTAGATGATCCAAGCCTTGAATCCAAAATTATTTTGACGGATGGAACTAATTTATCAAATAAAGGAATGGTGAACAGACGAAACAACCACTACTGGTCTACCGTAAACCCTCTAATTGTTAGAGAAGGCCGTGATCAAGTTCGGTTGTCTATTAGGCCTAACTGCTGGAGTGCGATACTTGATATTAGGATATTAGCCGTCCATTTTTACGAGGGTTCCCTAACAGGCGTCAGTTATCGAGAAATCTTAGAACACGTCCTTGTTGTGGCCTTAGAGAACATTCCTCTTAACACAAGATAACAGTTGATCTATCAACAAGAAGGGCGCCACCTCACAATAGTGATATAGTGTACACTTTTCTGGACGAGCATTTAAAAATCAATCAATTGCTTTCTAGCTTTTCTACTCAAGGCGAACAATTGATGTTCAATATACGAGCACTACATCTACTTAGCTACTCAGATCTGTATCACATAACCCAACTTTAACCCAATTACATGTCACTAGGCGAGGGTACTTAAACTTAAATACGTACAGTATAATCTTTTTACCAATAGTTTACAAGATGCAGGTATAAGAAAGATAACCAGAAATTGACAAGATGATGTTTCACATGCAACAGTCTCCAGTGAAGTTTCCAGTTAAATGCTTCAAATCGTAAGGAACAATATAGTTGACACCAAAATGTATAGCTAAAATATAGTAGCCATCACAAGCCACGGCGTACCAGTCATCGTATAACACATCCAAGATGGCATAGAAGTATAAGTCTAATAAATTAAATGAGCCTCCCACTAAGTGTCCTAATATAAAAAAACTTTACTTTCTCTCAAATTTTCTTTATGATTCTGGTTGATGTGACAAACTGGTATAATATAATTTATATAAAGTTGTCCTTTCATTCAAGCTTGGTTAAAAGATTGTCATATTCTGCAGAAATCTATAATTGCTATCAGCGCACTATGTCGGCGACTGGATTCAACCACTTTTAATTGTATTTTAATACTGACATGTATTTTAATACTGACATGTATTTTAGCCTAAAAGAACACTACCTGGATGGAGGGTCGCCTCTCCTCAGACTCCCTGGCAGAAATCTATAATTGCTATCAGCGCACTATGTCGGCGACTGGATTCAACCACTTTTAATTGTATTTTAATACTGACATGTATTTTAATACTGACATGTATTTTAGTCTAAAAGAATATTACCTGGATGGAGGGTCGCCTCTCCTCAGACTCCCTGGCAGGCGGGTTGGGGGAGGACGTTCTTCTACCGCAGGGACTGTGGGGCCGCGGAGGATACTCGGGACCATACGATGCTGAAGACTGCAGGAAGTTGCTGCCGGTGCTGATAGCAATCACAGAGGTCGACCGGTATTCTGTAAACACGAGGCTTTATATACAATATCCCCCCCTATGCATAGTGTATGGAGAAAATATCGTTTTCGTAAAAGAATTTTATTTTGGGCTATGGTTAGTTATATATCTTTTGGGGCACCCCTGAATTTGGAAATTGGTTTTTCATTTGATGGATGTATGTATGTTTAATATCTATGCAACATTCAATCAAAATCACATGCAGATGAATGGAGCAACATATTTTGAGAAAGCTTAACATAATTGTGCGAAAAATGCCAATCGATTCTGTTAAATCACTATCACTCACCTGTTTCTGTTACTAGTCACTATTGCACACCACGCATTTTTTTTGTTTCAAGGGAATACTCACAATAAAGTCATTTGATGTATTATTTATCATTTGTTTTACATTGCAAATCAAAGAAGGATAAAAGAATAACTGCATACTAATTTTAATCATGGAATAATTTTACTTTAAACGAGTTTCATGTAAAGATTGTAAGTTTCTAAATTAGTTGTGGCAATTCATTTTACAATAGCATTAACCTCTAAATATGACTTTAAAATTCGTTTAAAGATACGACATAGTTGAGGAATGGCTGTTCGATACCATTGCGAAAAAAAATTAATTTTATATTTAATAAAATATAATTGTAATAAAATGAAAGAGTAAATTTTAGTAATGCAAAATTGAATAGGTAAATAAATACTCTACTGGAACTAATTTAAACATTGCTATATTCTCAAAAGCGTTTGAAAGTAATATGTATTATTAGGAAGCATCCTTTACTCTATTATAGTGTATTTATCAGTTAGTATCTTTTAGTATATTTATTTAATCGTTTATCTTTACTTAGATAAGACAAATTACGATATTTCTCTCATAACCATAACTTAGTTATTTACTTTATGTTTCATCGTTACTACTAGACGATAGATTTTGTGAATTAAACTAAAACTAATGTCATGAAGATTGACTAAAAGGCGAGTAAAGTGTAAAAATCAATTGAAAAGAGTAATTTCCCTGAAAGATATTTTTGGTCAAGAGAAAAGCAAACATTTCCAGCCAAAGTTGAAAAGTTTCATTCGAGAGATTTGTGACTGAAGACTCTTTTGGCAAAAGCTACTAATACCAATATTCTAACTACTCGACTCTTCATGCACGAAACGTTAAGTTTATATAGTTGATTATTATACTCTACACTCAGAAATTTGCAGCATTTATACCAAAACTATTGTGGTAGGCATTGCTCCTTGTAAGAACATTTATAGACAACATTGTGCAAATTATCAGTTTGTCATTCCATCACACAAACACTCATGAACCAAATTAGCTGAAAATTTAAAATATAGCCTATGCATTTAAGTGTGTACCAGGTTTATTGTACAGTATTACTGTTTTATTTACTTTATTTTTTACTTAGTCTTTTGCATCAGGAAAATGAGCGATACATATTTATTCATTTCAATGGCAACACACATAGAATGCATTCATTGCATTTGATTTATTCTCACTCAATTAGCTATTAGTGTAGTACTCATGGTAAGACCTGAGTCCGGGACCGATTTACTTTTTCGTTTTGAGGTCCCTAAGAGGCCAAAAACACTATCCGGTCAAGTTCATATATTTAGTAAATTTCTTTCAAATTTGTTATGATTTCGTTATTTTTTCCTACCTAAGTAATTTTTTTGCAAATATTATAAATGCTTTGTGTTTAAATAAGTTGGCTTTAAATTTAACCCGTTACATGTTTTTCGTAACTTTACTCTTTGACCCCCAAAACTTGGGTTTACTGTCAAAATTTGAAAGGTATTGCCACTCTTTTTGAGCCTCATGTTATTTTTATGGGGAATAACATTTAAATTTAATAACTTTGGTATAATCATGTGAATCGGTTAGAAACGTGCTAGAACTTGAAATTTGGTAGTATTGTAGTATGGGACCCTAAATTAATGGTGGAATTTGCAAGAGTCACATTTTCAAATTTGAGCTCCCCCAAAAATCCAAAATTTCGGACATCTAAAAAGGACAATACTTTTTTTACGGCTATAACTCAAAAAACGGTAAGAGCTAGCCAAGATTTGAAAGAATTGTCATGGTCAGGAATTAAATTTTCTACAAAACTCTCTCAAGCGTCTTCTATCTATTATTATTTGGCAAATAAGTTAATAGCATCTTTTTTATAGTGTCTATCAATGTATACATTCATTTTTTGTATGAATATTCCGATTGTGGAAGCGTTAAAATTAAGTAAATGATAATACATACTCTGTATGTTTTCACTCTATCATGAACGTAAAAAAACGCATATAGTTAAGAGGAAGTATACATGTTCGACAGCTACATGTGGGTCAAACGAAAAAGGTGTCAAACGAAAAACCGTTCAATCCGTTCGGCCATTCCCAATCAACACGAATGGAAAGGATAAAGAGAAGAAGAAAGGGAAGAGAACGTCCATTGATTGAAGAAGCTCGAGAAACATACCATAGGGCTAACCCGTCAACATCGTCTAGTTTATCCTTTGAAGTTAGTGAAGTAGCCAATAACAGTGAGTTAAGTGGCGCAAATTCAAACGAGACACCATACTGTTTGTCCAGTAGTGAGAGTGATGATACTGGAGCGAGATTTAATTTATCGTCCAGAGAAAACGAAGAACTTTTTTCAGAATCAAAATACAATAGTATCTTGTTACCCTGAGTGTTTTTCCAAATTACCAGTTGATGCAAGAACCATATTCGGAACTCCCCGGAACTTAAATTTTAGGTCTTTACCCCCTGGTGAATATTTCCACATTGGCTTAAAAAGTAGCTTGATAAATTGTTATCATAAAAGTCAGAAGTTCTAGAATTTGTACATGTATTGTTTAGCGTTGACAGGCTGCCTGCTGCCTTTATTTAAGAGTAGTAAATAGTGTAGTAGTACTTGTGCAAATGCCCACAACTTCATTGCGGAATAATGTTTTCCCATTGGCGTTTACTATGGTCAAGGCAAACCTGAAAGGTAAGAAGCGTTTCTTGAACTTTTCTTAGAAGAATTAATAGATGTTTTGGAAAATGGAATTTTTCAATAATGTTTCTGAGAGAATTTAACTTTTGTGGTTTTGTTGTGACGCTCCAGCAAAAGCTTATCTTCTAGGCACCATAACCCACACTGGTTTCATTTTTCATTTCATTTTTCATTTTTATTTTCCACGGCAATGCTATTTACAATTTGGTTTCTTCAGTTGCACAAGATGCAAAGTTAAGGGTGTGACGTATGATAGAAGGAGGATCTTTACTGCAACATATTGCCCACCTAGATCAGATTGTGATTTTTCGTAAAAGAAGAGACTTACATTATCAGCCTGCTGATCGTCCCACACCTTTAGTTCCTGGTCTAAAATTTGTAAAATCTGTCATTCTAGATTGCATGCACTTGGTGTGTCTAGGTGTTGTGAGAACGCTGCTTTCAATTGGGTTTTTCAAATTGTTGACCACCCAACGACAAATTTGTGAATTTTTGTTAGTAGCTTGATGCTTAGTGGCGTCATGACTGAAACCAGGAAGTATCGAGTATATCGTTGATACTATCGATAAGCTATTGCTAAGATGTTCGCAAACCAGCATGATCAGGCTACCGTATGTGAATTTCAAAAAATTGGGTTTTTAAAATTGTTGATTCCCACACACAGAACAACTATTTATAATAAATCATTTGTAGTCACAGCATGCCGCCTATGGAACTCTATACCCGATGCCATTAAATCCATAGAAAACCGATCCCGACTGAAGGCGACACTGAAAGAATATTATCTCAACCGGATGGTAGTGGCGTGGCGGGATGGCGTGCGTTAGGCTTAGCTGCTGCAAAGAGTGTATGTGTGTGTGACTGTATGCTAGGAAAATAAATGTATGTTATGTTGTTTATTATTAATTATGTTACGAAATGTGTATTTTACTTTTGTTCATATCATGTATTATTGTTATTACTATTATTATTTAGAGGTTAACTGTAAGAAAGGACCATGAGGTCCTAAGTTCGCCTCAATAAAGAAGGATTTTCATTTCATTTCATTTCATTTCATTTCATTTCATTTCATTTCATTTCATTTCATTTCATTTCATTCCCCGACGAAATAATACCCCATCTTTTATTGTTTTGATCTAGTCGAACTTAAAAAAAAAACAATTTATTATACATACATTAGTATTTTTATACGGTAATAATTGGTTACTGAGATATTGGAGTAGGGGAAAATTGCTATAGTTTGCTTGTTTCTGGATATATTTTGCAATTACGCAAATCTATTTATTTCATGGTAAGCGATTGACGTTACAAAAACACACTCTTTCACCTTTCTTGTTGTAGAAAACGTAAGTAACTCATAGAAACTAATGTTATTTAAGATAAAAATGAATTCGCCATTATTAGTTTAATTTTATTGTAAAGATTAGGCAAATGAAAATTCTTTAAGTCTGCATGTTAGTTACGACGGGGTATTAGTAATTTGTAGATTAATTTATGCTAAGTAATCGTACATATTTGGCTATTTGTATACATATTTATAAAGACTGACCTCCTATTATAAAGCAAAAAACATTTGTGGATGTTCTTGGAGACTGAACACTTCTCCTGATGTTATTTAGACAACAAACTTTGATTTGGGCTGTAGATAGGCCTATTAACTTCCTCCACTAACATTCATTGGGCAGTAGGCTTAGGATACTGTTTTGACTGACTTGCCACTGCCACTGACTTCTTTTTTTATGGGACTTGCGGGAACGATACTTAAGATACTTAAGAAACATTTGCATCGTCCAATGACTCAAAATGGAGGACATGTATTCTTCTGCGACAGCCTGGCTCTTATTCTTCATTTTCATAAGCTGTAAGAGACTGGACTCCTCTTTGAAACTTTACGGCATCAGCCATTCCTCTTTCAAAATTATATAAATAAACAAAATGGAGAAAACGTCTTGATTAAGTTGCTAACTGAAAATTTTCAACTAGGCCTAATATGAGACAATGTATAATTTACAT